TAAATATAAAGGTATGTGTCAATCAAGATATATGCAAGAACAGGCTCAATGATTAACTACATGGACTATTGTGGGTGTGGTGTATATTTTGTAACTATTCTTTAGTATATTACTTGTGTGATGTAAGAATGTTAACACTGTTATATTCTTTTTTTAGTATATGTGTGTGTGTAGAAGTGAATCATTTACTGCTTGCAAACCAATGATGGTAAGATGATGTCATGGGGTAGGACTGGATAAGTCTGACTTCTTCCTACTCCATTCAAGCATGTACTAGGTATAAGCAAATTGATATTGGATTATGTGTAAAATTATGTGTGTTGTCATATCAACTGTTTTTAGATGCTTGAAAGAATAAATCAAATCAAATCAAATCAAATCAAGGTAAACTATCTAAAGTCAGGAGCCTCTGGGGGTACAATTACCCATAAGGAGGAACCAGGGGAGCGTGTTACTCAAACACTTGACTCGTATTCAAAAGGTTTCATTTTTTTTTTTTTTTTTTTACCAGCACCACAAAAATAGTCGCTGTTTGCAGTGTTCACTAAATTAAATATGTTGACTGAAAAATCAGCAATAAAACATTTATTGGTTAAGGTTCTCTTTATTTTACATAATATGCTTAAATGTATGGTAAACTTGGTTAATTCACTGCATGTGCTAATGGATATACCATTGTAAGGCTGTGTTAAGGCGAGTCAGCATGTCCCCATATTTCTGTAATTGACGTGTCAAGTTTTCATAACCAGTAGATATAACATCCTACTGTAACATCCGAAACTCCACTGAACAAGAAATGAAATTTTTGCTTTAATAAAACTCTGTTCATTACATAATGTTTTATAACTGTACATCCTTTAAGCCAATTATTAGAATAATTATGTGGTGAGACAGACTGAATTTTAAAGGGCACCCTGCAGTTATAGTGCATTTTTGAGTTTTGTCACACTTCTGGCCCCTGCCTACAGTGATATGGCACACACACAAATACACCACATCGCCTGCAAGTTATCTCATTTATTGGCCATTTAAATAAAACACAAACACAGTGCAGTGTTCCCCTGGCTGAGGTTATTTACTGTACCTGGCAGTCTGTTGATGAGCCAGCTGAGCTGTTTCTTGGAGATATTCGTCCAACTGAGGTCCAGAGCTACTGGCTGTCTCCGGATGATACCGCTCAGCATGAGAGGTGTGATTGATTTGCACCGGTTCAGATTGATGTGCTTCCAAAGCCTCTTGTCACAACACCTAATGAGACAGACAGACTATACTTTCAGAGGACTGCAGTGTAATGAAGTGTAGAGAACATGTTTTCAACTCCACAGTACATCTTGTACTCACCATCTGTTCCAGGCCTTGCAGACCCGCATGCAGACACAAAGATCCCTGTGAGTCAGGTGACTGAATACATTCATCCACATCTCTCGTCGCATAATGTGAGCTTCACCGTCGTTCAGTGGCAGTCTGTCAGGTGGGGGGCTGATGGGAGGGGGTCGGATCACGTGGCGCTCCATTTGGATACATTTTGGCGGTGACCGGCAGGGGAGTGGACGAGGGCATATCGGTGTGATCGGTGTGCTTCGGTTCCAGCTGAGCGGTGAGTAACCACGTGGTGTGCCGTTCACCTCCCGCCCCCTGTGTCGCAGCCAGTCACCCAAGTTGCTGCTGCCATTATTTAGAGGCCATCTAGGCTTCTGGTCATCTACTTTGTTCTCTGTCTCAGTTTTTATTGGCCTGTGATTCTGATTGGCCAGGCTGTCCTCAGGTTTTTGCGGTCGTCTGTTTTGACCAGCTACACCTTCATCCGTTTTAAGGGCCCTACGGCTCTGATTCATGGTGGGCTCTTCTGTTTTTTGTGGTTTACGGTTTTGACTGGTCACAAAGTCCTCATTTTTTAGTAGTCGTCGATTGTGATTGGCAGGACTGTCATCTGACTTCACTGGACCATGGGTCTGATTGCTTAGACAGTCTTCTGTCTTGGGAATCTCCTGGCTGAGCTCTTTGCTCAGCTCTTTGTTGGGGAGGCATCTGCGCTGATGGCGAGCCCTAAGTTGAGCAGAGCTCCTCTCCTGAGCATCTCCTGGTTCATTGCTTGGCCCAGCTCTGGGAGAGTTGGACAACATCTGGTCACTTTCTCTGGCTGCTGATGTTCTTAGCAGTGGACTTAACATTGTTTTGTCCTCTGCACTACTGTCTTTTTCTTTTGTCACTGTCTCCTCTTCCTCTTCCTCTGCTTCTTGGTCCTCATCATCCAAGTCATTTTTCTCCTTTAAGTGAATCCTTTCCAAGGAGAATCCATCTTCTTCATGATCCTCCTCATCATCTTCCTCATCACCTTGATCATTCTCTGTTGTGAGCTGCCGCAACAGCTTTGATGTCAAGGGATCATCCTGTCTTAAAAGCTTCTTCTATGACAGAGTGGAGGAAACATAATTATTATTTTTATTACTCTATAAAGACTTTTTTTGAGAGATGATAGTGGAGCAGACAGAAAACATGGGGTATGCGAGAGAGTAACAACAAAAGTCCATGCTCAGAATTAAACTGTGCATGCCATGTTATCAATAAGTTTTTTTCCACCTATGCATGATTTTAAAGGCGTGTATTATCAACTAGAAGGTACTGCTTAGATTATTAATGCCTTTAGTGACTCCATTTAATCTAGTAAAACTGAAAGACTGCAAAAGCATGAGGGTCCCACCTTCTTTTTCACAATGACAGGTTCATCATTGGTGTCAAAAAGTTTCCTCTTTTTCCTTAATGGGTTATCCTCAAGCCTTGGTCGGGGCGTACCATCTAGAGACAGCAAGGGGGGACGTTTCTTTGGAGGCTCTTCTTCTTTCCTCTTCAGGATTTCCTCCCGCTCTGCCTTTCTCTTCACCGCAGGTGTGGTAGTTAAAGCGGTAACAGTAGCTGTTGCCACCATAGGCAGTTCAGGGTCCTCTTTGGAATCCCGGTTTAACCGCGGTTCTTTCAGTAGAGAGCCAGGAAGGTTTGATGCGTACTTAAATCCTGGCCCCCTTTTTTGCTTTGAGGCCAAAAGGTTAAGAAAAAAGAACACAACTTTATTTCTCTGGTTCTGAGATTCTGAGACAAAGTCAACTGTTTAATCATGACATGATTCAGACACACACAGAACAAGTCCATACAGATGCTTACTCTCCCTGTTTTCCCAGCATGGTTGCACTTCGGGCACTCCCAGCAGTTTGGCAGCTCATCATTCACTACTCCATTTGAATCTTTAACCTGAATAAAAGGTGCATATCAATACTATCAAACAGTAAAAGGCCACTATGAAAACAGCTCAACTGTTCTAAAAACAGTTTATCATGTAACAGTCAATACATATTGATAGTAACTTACCTTGAGACAGTTAGGATGAACAATCTCATTGCAGATGGAGCACTCCATGAGCATAAGGTTAAACTTCTCTTCTTCATCCTCCACAGTGTCCTCCTTCCCTGCCTCGCCACAGATGAGACACACTGCTGTGTGGGGCAGGACAGGCTGGAGACAGACAGACACACACAAACACACAGGACAGAAGACTGGGTGACTGTATGAAATTAACATCCTCCTTTAGAACAAACCTTCTTCCAATCATGATGGACAAACTCTCTAACACACTTCCAAATTATTTATTGATTACAGTCAGTCAGCAAACAAGATAGATGCATTACCATGAACAAATGAACTGATGTGGCAGGGGAGGCTGTGGTGAACTGTGGGGTATACTTAGCTCTGGGTACTGCTTTAAAGCAGTATTCGAGTAAATGCACATCAAGAGGCTGTGTTGTGGGACGCAGCTGCTAAAGAGCTTTATAGTGGTCAATCATTCAAACTGAATATTTCACACTGTCTATTTATTTTATGGCCGTGTCCATGATGTTGAAACATTCAAACACATTCTTTGCTCATGTTCATATTACTGGCTGAAATTAGGGCTGCATGATAAATCGTTTTGTGAGCGTGGTTTAGATCCCTGTGCTGTGATCTCAGTCTCATGTGACAATGATTCTGCTGTGTTTGCATTAGCACAGAGATGCCTTGCATCACACCAAGTGCTCCCTTTTCCTCACAAGCCTTCTCATGTCTCTATGCTCAATATGAAGCTAGAGCCAGCCAGCAGTTAGCTTAGCATATGTCAAACTACTCATTTCACAGCATGTATATCACAATACATTTAACAGAAAACAATATGAACAATGTGCTTACTGCAATGCACTGCCTCATGATGCAGGACTGCTTCATACGGCCTGGGCCACCAAACTTCTTCATGTCTTTACAAAAGTGACACTCTCCGCACTCCGTCCGCAGGCACGCCTCACACTTCCGACAGCGCGTTCTTCTCCTCCTGGCACTAGATGTTCCCCGACTAGCTGACAGCTTGACTGCTGATGCAGGAGAAGCTGCCATCTTAGGTTTCGGCCGGTTAGGAGGCCGGGGCTAAAAGGTTGAACAGGATCCAGCGTCAAGCACGTAAAACTTTGAGCAAACAAACATTTCAAACATCTAAATGATGCTTTTGTTGGTTTGAGAATAAATGTGTTATTTTTAAAAGGTTTTGCAATGTTATACAATTATATTATGAATTCAATGTGAAATTTACAATACAAAAATACAAAAATAATAAGTTAATTAATAAGAGTGCATAAATTCACACATACAGTAAAACTGTAAAGCATGTTTGTAGTATGTAGTGTGTCTAAGACAAGAAGCTTGAACTATTAGCTTTTCAAAGAAGACTTCTGGTTCTAGATTCTTTATTTCAACAGATTCTAATGATCAGCAAACTACTGTATATGCAGTGTATATATATATATATATTTTTTTTTTCTTCAATTTGACAATTCAGGGATTTTTACCAAAGTTTCAAGTTTATGAATAAAATGAAGACTGAAGCTCTAAAGAGCAACTCGTTCTAATATTGTACATTACACTGCATTTGCATAATAAGCACTTAGTCATGTTATATAATAGAAAACAAAACATTCTATTAAATTCTGATCCTCTTTGCTCTTTCTGACTCCACATTAATAATTCCAAACACATAAAAAAACTGAAATAGCACCTGTATCCATATATGCATATACAGTACATATAACGCATATCCGGACCAAAACATGTTGTGTATAAAAACATTATTCCTAGCTGTTAAAGCACAAGATCCAGGAGAAAACGAACACACACATCAAGAACATCCCTGGAGGCATCTTCCAAATTTAGCACTTCACTTGCTTGCATGTTTCTACTTCAAAAAGAAACTGCACTTAGAACGACATTTCACACACCAATCACTATCTATTATTCTTTGTTAGGGGCTGCACAGACTGATTTATTACAGTGCACAATAAATGTTCTCTATTTAACAGAAGTGGGTAATGAGATGCCTTTGATCTGCATCATTATTGTTCTTCTGTTGTATATTCCACTCGTTCACAAGCTCAGACCCCAATCACAACAATGTATTTTTAACATGAAAACCACGTCAAATTACTGCCAACCGTGCCACATGAAAAGATGTGTGGCAATGTGCAAGATGAAATAAACAGGAACAAGGACTGCAAAATACTGCAGCTCTTGGAAAGGAAGATCAGATTTCTTTAGTTACATCGGCAGAGCACATTTTCCTAGCGTCAGCATAGCAACAGCCACGTCCCGTTCCCTAACAGAACAGTGTGTGACACACAGACTTGTAACCAATAAGAACTGTAATGAGACCCTCTACCAGAAAATGGAAAGAGACTCAATCTTAGACATATTACTGTAAGTTTTTGGAACAATAACCATGAAATAGACTGACACAGACTGTCAGATATGTGGTTACCATACAGGATTAAAGTGAAATATTGTCGGGGGGAGGGGGCCTTGTGCAGTCCGCACTGGACTGTTCTAGGGGTATTCATGTGGATGAAATACACGAGGAACACTGAAATGAGACCAGATATCCCAGCCAAAGAAACCCAGCCCTGTAGCTAAAGCACCATGATGTAACCCAGCTGCTGCCAGGTAGTCGACCTGACAACAGGTCAGAGTTATGATCATTCTGCTAATGTCCGATTGCATAACAGGTACCTAGACACTGTGGTGTATACTGTCTTTATTACTGTCTAATTACACCTGTTACCTGAACCACATGTGTAGAAGGCAACTGAAAAATGATACAAGGAAAACAATTTCAGATGGCTGTCCATAGTGTCCCTTATATCCACTGTAAACCGCCCACTGCCATGTGATGCTTAGAATTTAACGACAGGGAAGGCTGACAGCTGACCCCCCCCACCTCTCTATCTAGGTAACTACTATCTATTTCAAATACAAATATATTTTGCAACAATATCTAAGAAATTATGGTGAGCCATCAGTGGCTGTGCCATGCATACCTCTTTATAGCATACAGTATATACACGTGTCTTTGTTATTTGTACTGTAAAAACTACAGTTCAACTGACCAGCTAATAATCCTTTGGCACTTCAAAGCTCATTCAGCTGGGAATCATTATGAACATTTGACTCTTATGTTCCATGTCACAGGCTTGGAACTGCTTGAGCTATTATTATGTGGATTATACTAAAATCACCTAGAACACACACTGAAGACAGTGAATACCGAGCACAGGCTGCAGAAACACACAACACTGTTTTATCAAAGCGGAGGGAAATGAAAAGCATGTTGTGGTGTCTAAAGTCAACTGTCACATTTTTATGATGTTTTGAGCTAAATTTATTAGTTCCATTTACCTTGTGCATAAATATGTCTTGAAACAACTGACTTGGCAACAAATTGGGTTCCTAAGTTTCTGGAGAGATTACTTTCCTGTTAAACATTAGAAGTGGCATAAGATGCAAAGCTGTTGATGCGTTTGAAAAAAAAAAACACAAAACATGACTGCTCTAAAATGCAGTTTGTAGTGTATAGTCCAAATGTTACATCTGAGAAAAGACACCATCTCTAATAAAGCCTGTGACATGTACAGTAACTCAGAAACGGTGAGGACTGTTGACTGAGAACCAGCAACAGTGTCCATCAGTTAAAAACCTCCTCACACCGTGCTTTAGAGATGCTGAGAATACACTGCAAAAGCAGTGATTCTGGCAGTTACATTAATCCACAAATTGTCTAAATTGGTGCTGGACACACAACTGTTGTTCAGCTTCTGGGCTGCAATGCCAAAAATCCTAATAGTTATAGAGCCTACTGTGGATATTGTTAATTGAGGTTCAAATAGATAAACTGTGAAGCCAAGGAAAGGTGCATTAACATGATGAGAACAAATAGGACTGAAAATGTCTTATATTTGTCTAAAATGGACTAATCTGCAGTTAGTGGTTTTCAAATCCAAATGCAGCCACAGTATTCATGCAAGGGGGTGTGGTTCAGAGTTAAGTAAGTGAACCATTTAAATTAAGGAACACATTTTGCTGTAAAAGCAGGTTTCATCTTTAATCAATCTGACAGTTACACTAAATCAAAATTTTAATTCATAATGCTCTGTAACGCAATAACCTTTTTTATTCGCAGTCATGCAGAGAGTATACCAACATGCACATCCATCGTCTTTACAATCAAACCATGAAAAATTCATCTCCTGTATCCAGATGAATTCCCATTCCTCTGCTCCTCTCCTTTGAAACAACCAATAGCAGCCCTGAGGCTCTGAGCTATATAAACACAGCCTTCTCCTATTGCTGGATATATCTGACAAAAGCACAGGCATGCACACACACAGACACAAAACAGAAAACCTATGAAAAGCCAAAGGGCAAAAATCAAAGACGAAGCACAGGAGATAGACTGAATCAATGCACTGCTCTCCAGGTAGCTCCATTTCCTCACCCCCCTGTGATGCTGCACACTGCTCTGTCTGGCACAAGCATTCCTTTGGTAGCCTCACTATGTCTGCCCGCAGTGTGTTAATGTGCTAACCTGCTCAGAGTCTGAGTCGTAGTCCTCATCATCAGCGCTCAGCGACATGGCCATGGCTGGTGTTCACACACTGTCCAGCTCACAGCAAACTGACATGGCTGCAGTCTCCTCCTCCTTCTACTAGACTGCTACTGGTGTCTGGCCTACAGCCCTCCCTCCTGCTCCAAAGCTCCACAATACCAAAAGCAGATGTAGGAAACACAGTCAAGCCTGCCTCATTAATATGGATCAACTGCCTGAAAAAGAGGAGGAGTGCTGGAAAGCACAGGACCAATGGTGGGCCTCCGGGCATAAGAATATGTACTGGGGGTGTCTGCCTGTATCCAATGAGGACAGAAAATGCAGAAATGGTGTTTGTCATATTCATGATGAGCATCAGAGGGAGAGAAGAACAGGCTCCGCACAGCCAATAAAGCCAGATGGCATCTCATTACAAAAGGCAAACACAAAGAGGCCCCACAGCCAGCAGCTGGCCTTTGGAGGGAAGGGTGGAGGTGATCTAGAGGGTCCCCGAGACCGACAGAAATCACTTCCATACATTCATATACAACACATCCCATCCTCCCACCTCCTGTTGAGGCTTCTCCTCCTATTACACAGTTCATTGACTTGTTTGAACAATTAATTATACAAAGAAAAGCACATATCCAGTGAACCTAAATAGAACCATAATGTAGCTCAAGTAACACTCTACTAATCAGAATTTACACTTTACCTCATTTTAGTAGATAAGACAGAGCATTTTTTCACAACTATTATATTCATTTCTCCATATTTTTATAGCTCTGGAATTAAGAGAAAACTGCACATCAGTGTACTATTCATTTAATAAGTATTTAGACCATTTCAAATATTTATGGAGTTTTTTCCCACAATAATGTAAACGCCTCAACTATCTCTTTTTACAACCTGCTGCTTAGCTCGACTCAATCAAACCTAAGGATAACTATAATTAGAGCACATTGATGCCCAAAAGTATGACAGAAATGTCCTTTGCAATTTCTGTGGAGAAAAACAAATGCCTACCATTAAAACAGTGACTACAGCTATAAACATTCATACCAGTTAGTATGCATTTAGATGTACACACGGCCCATTTCTTTGTGATGACCAAAAATGAAAAAACAAACAAACAAAAAAAAAAAAATCAAACAATGAGAAATAAAACTGGTCAACCTGTGCTTCAAATGAGAACTGCTCTATTCTAGTAATGGCAATAACATACTTCTAAAGTAGCAGTGAACTCAACAAAGACCATCTCTTTAATATGCATCCATAAAAGTAAAAATATTTGGTTTCACTGACATAAATAGTACAAAGAAATGTTCGCAAAGGCAACCATTCAGCTGAAAAGCTCAAAAATGTTCTTGCATCACAAAGTCAAGTAAGACGTGCACAGGATTAAAGTCTTTTTAGCACGTTTGCTCACTTTATACACAGTAAAGGACACTGTTTGGAGCAAAAGCAATCAGAAAGTGTCCCACTACAGCTAAAATATTCTTACCTTTGTAGTTTTCTTAGGCCAGCACACCACAGGAACTCCAGTAACTGCTAATCTGGGGTCATCATCAGCATGTTCTTTTAATACAACCTAGATGGCCCGAGAGGACAACAGATTACTGTGTGTGTAACTGACAATCTTATGTGTTTGCCATCTTGCTTTTATTTACCTTCATGTCCTCCAGCAGGGCTTGTGGGTTTTCTAGTCCTTCTGGAACACATTTCTTATTGTCGGGGAGTGACTCCAGTTTCTCAACCAGTGTCCTGAGTCCGCTCATTTCAAACTCTGTCAAATGAGTCCACTTATTCTGAGACTCTGATGTTGGTGAGTCAGAGGGGGTTTTGAGGAAATCTAGAGAGGTGGACCCGGGATTATAGCTGTCCTCAGAGTCAACAGATAAAACTGCTTTGAGGAACTGGCCCTTCCTGTCAGGTGAGCAACGGCCATCCTGAGCGACTCTCTCTGATTTTTCACCCTGGTCCTCCCTCACTTGAGTCTCACACGAGTCCTCATTCATGTCTTGGCTCCTTGAGTCAGAGGAAGGACTCTCTGTGTTTGCCTTTGTCTCATAGTCTGGAAAGACAAAATGAGAGAAAAGCAGCTATATCTAATGACATTTGCACCTTCATCTGTAGAAATAATATATGTTGCAAGAGAGAATGACTTGTCTGATCAGGCAAGGCACAGAAACAGCAAGCATAACATATCGGATCGATTCATTTTACTCACCCATTAGTACAGGCTCCTTATGGATCTCCTGAGAAAGGTAGGACCGCTTGGTCAGACAGTGCAGGTATCTCTCCAGGACATACCAGCACATCTCATAATAGAAAGGGAAACGAAACTTGGAATGAACCTGAAAACGGGGAGAAAAAAAAATGTTTACTTTTCATGCACTTAGGTAATCTAGTTTACTGTTGCCTTTTTGTGGTAATCTGATTCCTAAATGCCATGTAATCAAAAGCTCCACAAACAAACCTGTTGACACAGCGGGATTTCTCGACCGTGTACATGCTCAGCCAAGTTTCTGTCTGTGTTTTTACTAGTATGTGTGAATACGACAGAAACTTGAGACAGGAAATGATGTTGACATCAACAGTAGTGAAAAGAGATTATTACTGTACTCCATCACTCCACTGTCATCTCATGCAAACAAACATGCACACAGCTGCAATGTAGGCTTATAATCTATAACAGGTGATCATTATTTTGAAATAATAAAGCTTTAAAACAGAAATGAAGAAGCTAAAACACTAAACACTATCCAGAAATCCTACAAGAAAGAAATAAGTTTCTTAAAATATATTTTTTTAAATATGGTCCTTGGTGTACAGTAACACAAAGTACATCACAGTGATATTTGTATTATCTCCCTACTGCAGGTCAGACTTCAGTCACACCTCAGTGTCGACTCCTACCTTAGTCCTATTCTCAATCTCATGGATAGTAAACTGCATAGGAATGTTAAAGCTGTGCAGAATGTTGCCTCCGAACACCAGCGTGTCTTCAGGGGTGTAGACAGCATGAATCCACCCTTATTTAGAAAAAAGCAAAAGTACAAAAATTTTTGAAAGTGGATTCATGCAAATTCACAGAGTTAAATATACAGTACTCTATAAAGATCAAGCTTAGCTTAGCTTGATCTTTATATATTATCGTTATCTTTTCATTCAAGTGCAGTTAATCTGTCCTGCTAGCTACTTTAAAGCAGCCATGCCAACACACCAGATGGGATGAAAAAAGTGTATCCTTGCTTAAGCTCCACTCTCTGGCATCCATCGGCTCGGTCTCCCAGGAAGACATCGCTCTGCTTTCCTGACAGGACCCAGTCCTCATACAGTGCAAGGTTATGAGTGGTTGGAGGCACCAGCCAGAACACCTGAGGAGAGGCAGAGATTTTATTTTGGAGGTTATACTGCACTTAATGAACAGGTTAGATGAAGTGTCAACTCTGAAACTGTTTGCAGCTCAAGATTTTCAAAAATATTACCAGATAAACATTTTCTTAATTTATCCCTTTAATGTTCAGTGAAATGAAAACTAATAAATTAAGGTTTATAATATCAGATGAGATTAGAATGAACTTACTTTCTGTCCTTTGAATACATGATACCAAACCGAAGTTCCCCCAAAATCAATGTGAAAGTCTGTGTAGCAGCCCTTCACGCTCATCAAACAATACCTATTGGACAAAAGGAAACAAAAATGTATAAGATGCATATAGTACAAATTACCCAGTAAGGATCCAAAGGTTTACAGACTGAGACCCATAAAAATATCTTTTGAAAAAGGCTCAATCACTCATAAAGCTGAATGGTCTTAGCTGTCTTAAACAAAAGCAAACAATAGAAAACACCAGTAGAAATCAATCACATAAGCACTGCAGCATAGAAAATTGTTCACAATAGGATATTGCTTCTGTGGAAGTTAATGGAGGAACAATTAACACCCTGAGATATAAATGAGAAACTAATTTAACTAGATAGGAGCAGCTCTTTTTATCAGAATAAAATCTAAGTGCTGTGGTGTAAACAGAAAAAATAAAGTATAATTAAACCAAATAAATCTTCACACACTATTACGTCATGTGAATAGAGAACAGAACAGAGTTAGACTGCGAGAAAACAACCTTGTCAACAAACTGACAACAGCAATAATGTAAAAAAAAAAATACTGAAAATGAATAAGGAAAAACTGAATTTAAAATAGTTTTGTTTACATGATGGAAAATGATGAACCAAAGACACTCATTAATTTAGGGTTGCAAACTGTTACTGTAATCAGTGATCAATTAATCTGCTGATTGATTTGTCAAAAAACAAAAAAATACCATCACAATTTTTGTTTCACATTTTTGCTTTAAAAATGACTCAAATGACTAATCACACTAGATTCCAATTAATTTTTGTTCGACCAAGAAATTGATTCCTCAACAAATAGTTTTCAATATATAATAATTACAAATTCTAATTGTGACAAACTCTCCAGGACTTTTTCTTTCAGACTGTATACACATTTGTAAGCAGACAAATAAGCAAGGCATACTCTGAAAATAAACACAGCTGCACAATATATCAATAAAGTACACTACCAATCAAAATCATGACCAATATTTTGCAACGCTATGGCAGAATAATGACATGCCAACAAAAATGACAGACTGCATGAACTTTTTTTGACAACACTGTGACAAGTACCAATTTACAGGAACACCTTCAAGCACCAGTCTGCATATGCAACATTTGCAAGAGTCAAGATGTTTGAAAATGTTACAGCAAAATAAGTGCTTTTCACAGAGGATGACTACACTACTTGTTGAATGCAGGCATTTGAATGCATTGTGATTTGCAGAAATAAAACTGTGCGGACACTAATGAAGTAGTACTTTTCTTACTGCCTTAATAGTAAGAAAACTAACCACCAGTGGTGGTACTGAAAAGGAAACTCTAGGTATCAGTACTGGCTGAAACAATGGTGGAAATTTGTTACCGAATGTCAGTAATAACTGATATTTAATCAATCCATCTTGTACAACCCAATCCCTACCTAATTGCTATAAATACTAATCAATAAATATTATTATAACTGAGCAGAGGAACAGACGGTTAGTGAGGCCTCTGTGTGATGGGAGGAAATACAAGCATGCACAACTGTTTTCGATTCTTAGCTATGTATAAATGCTGGCAGCTGATTGGCTGAGAGGTGTGTGTGTAGTCGGGCCACAGCTGTTATAAACCATCCTCCATCGTGGACAAAACTGCTGCCTAGCAACAGTCAGGAGCACTGACAGTACACAGCACTCTGCTGTGATGGAGCGAGAGTTTACACACTCAGATGCGAGTGGAATTTGTATTTATTGCTAACAAAGAAGCTATTTTCTTAAGTATTTTCTATATCTTGCTCTACATATTTCATGTTTTACTTACAAACTGACACACAGCTCAAGAGAGATTTGTGAAAACCAAAACACAATCGAGTGAAAGTTGTACCTTTGCACTTTGGGGTACTTCATCTCTGAGATCACATTGGTTGGTTCTGTTTGGCTTTGTTTTAAATCACGAGGCCACATGTTGTCCACCCAGTCGACTTGATCCACCTATGACAGTGAGTAAAAACTCCACTTTTAGCGATCAGTCACAGTGCCATTAGTCATACTGACTTTGAAAATACAGTACCAGATTTGTAACCATCAAAACCTTATACAGAGAATGTCATGTCATATTACCACTGTGGGTCGCTTGATGAGGTTCTCCAGCTTAGTGTGTTCTCATAATAACGGCCAAACTGGGCCATGCTCATTTCAGAGCCTTTCTGAGTGCTCACATCCATAACGTCCACAGAACGACGGCTGCCTGTAAGCAATACCCAGGATACAAATTGAACTTAATCTACGGGTGCTGCCACTGTCATTACCTGGTAACACAATCAACCTGTATAATCTACCCTATAAAACAATTTACACACAGAAAATCTACATCATAACCAACTACAGCATCTCTTATATACAGTACATGTAATCCACCATCTTCCCACTAGATGGCGCACCCCCGCCCAAATCAAGCTTTGACTTAATTTGTCATGCCTAATTTAAAGTTTTATTTTAATGCATTAGAAAATAACAAGAAATGGAAAACTGCCTACGCCCAAAATTGTGATAAATAAATAATAGATGAAAAGCTAACAAATGAAAAAATTAAGTTTTTATAGCACAACAACAAATATAAGAAAGTAGACATGGATGGACACACACACACACACACACACACACACACACACACACACACACACACACACACACTACTAAAATGATCCGTCACTCATAAAAATGCATTACAGGTACATTACATACACAGAGACAGGCAGACAATAAATAGATGGATAGAAGTGTATGCGATCACTATTTAAATAATTGATTAAGAAGGGGGGAGCAAACCAAAAACAGTGCCATTGTACATGCAACACACTGTGACAATGACTTTTGGTTTCGTTTTTTTTCTATTCTTCATATCATTTGCAGGAGAGTGTCTCAAAGTAATCACAGCTTTTGTATTGCAGATATATGGCATGACAATGATTATCAATTATTACTTATTATTTTTTTATTATTACTCACTCACTCACTCACTGATCCCCCAGTTGTTACTGCACCACCTCCAATTCTCTGGACTGGCAGTTGAGATACTTCCCCCCTTCTATATGCACTAAAGTCTAATTGCTAGTCAGTAAGAATTATACTCTAGCCATGGTGTGGGTGTTTGAGTTGCTCTACTTACCAACTAAACCTTTAATTTCACTAACTGTAAACTCAGGATCAGGCATTCTGTTTAAATCGAAGAGGGGCATAGATGACATTCAGTTAATCTTGTATATATTGCCAAATGGCTAAAAATATAAATATACAACAAATATGGTCCAAGATTATTCTCAACAGAAACAGCTTCTCACCTGATCCCTAGTCCATCTTTCTCTTTAAAAATGAGTGGGATCCTGAGACCCTCCTTTTGTGCATATTCATAAGTAAAGTCTGCAAGACAGTGTGTATTTTAGTCCAAAGCATTTATAGAGCATGTCAATACGTGGTAAAGACATACATCCTGCCAATTAAAAGCTGCAGAATACATAAACATATATATAATAAATGGTAACAATGGCTAATCGAAAGAAAATACGATGTTCTAAGTGTTACTGTACCTTTACCCTCCATCAAGTGTACAAAGGCTGCGCTGTAACTGTCACTGACAAGCTTTTCCTCCACACTGAACCCTCTGATGTTTGCAATTTCTTCAACATCAGACAAATCCTCGTTTTCGTCATACATCCTTCGGCAGATGGAGCGCTGCCAGTGAAAACAAGATGATTTATGTCACAACACTGAAACGCGTGTAAAATAAACACTCTCTCCATAAACAGCCAGTGTGAGCGATGTGAAACGACTGAACATTCATTGTATTCGTAACTTTAAAACTGTAGGGGTAATGTTTAGTTCGACGATAGTACGTTATTATAGCAGTATCTTTCTTCTTAAATGTGGCGTCAAGTGTAATAACCATTAAATGACACTCGCCCTGGCAAAATGCTGCTGCTGACACGTTATTTCATAATGATGCATGTAAAATGTTTGCAGGCTTTCACTGGTATAAATGCTGGTTTCTCTTGTTTTAACTAGTAGGCTACAGATACAAAATGAGTAATAACATGCAACTAAAATGCGATATCTGTGGGTTTTCCTCGTGGTCTGTAACTTGAACAGCGTTAATGACTTGACAAACATTCCAACATTAACGATTGCAAACGTTAGCTTAGCTAACTAATTAGCTCGTTCCCTGTCTCGCTTCATAAGCTAACGTTAACACGACAGATAGTACACACCAGCTTGCGTCCAGATTCAGCACACGTTTCTGCAGCCTCAGCCATCGCCTCTTATGAATGTTTTGCTGTCACTCAGTTTCGGAAAAGCATCTTCATGCGTAGTGAAGTTAAAGAAACACTTAGCACGCTTTTCAGGTTCAAAACAAGGGAACCATGTTTTTGTGTATTACGTCACCGCCAGGAACCAAAACATTGTTGGACAACGTCACGACATGTCAGTGCACCACTTTTCAACTGCTTTACAGAAACATTCATCACTCCGGGTGCTGCACTGTTTGATTGTGGTTGAACAAATGCCATTGCGTTATAACTAATTGCTGTCAGATAGTTCAATCCACTGTGCTAATGTAAAATAAGTGGTAAAGCGTGGCCATATAGAAGACAGCTGTTTATTCAATTTGATTCATTTTACTAGTAATAATACTTTCTATACGCTTGACGTGACGTGCGTCACGTGGGTTGGTCTAAAAGTCAACCCTTCAAGTTGACCATAAAACGATTTTTGACTATTTCAAAACATTGAACATGATGATTACACTAGCATTAACTCGGGGCAGAGAAGAAACCCCATTTCAAACTATGCGAAAGCGACAGTTTAATACTCAGGAGCAGATGTGCTCCTCAGAGCGCCGCGCACAGGCTTCTGGGTAATACAAGGTGCAGGCAGTACAACACGCTGAAGAGTGGCGGTGAAAATAGCTTCCGCAGTTCTGTTAGCTGTCGAGGTTAAATGTTTTCTAAGTGTATACTGGTAGCATGTTGAACGCCTGTTTCCGTCGTGTCCTGCTAGAGTAACAAGGTAACTACGTCGGCGCTGCTCGTCCAGCCTTCTGATTATAGCCGCAACATGACTCTGAATGAGCATTCACTGCAAGCGCTGTCCTGGAGAAAGCTGTACTTAAGCCGAGCTAAACTGAAAGCTTCGAGTCGGACATCAGCTTTGCTTTCTGGATTTGCTATGGTATCACCGTCTTCAAACCATCCTCTTAGTCTTCTGTAGATGAGTCAATCATTTTACACAGTAGTCACATGAAGGTCGATTATGTAAATTTGCCAAACCATCCTCTTAGTCTTCTGTAGATAAGTCAATCATTTTACACAGTATTGACATGAAGGTCGATTATGTAAATTTGTTTCCTGTTTCTCATTCATTCTTTCCAGGTGGCTATGGTGGAAGTGCAGCTAGACAACAGTTATCCTTACCCACCTGCTCTCCTTATTGCCTTCAGTGCCTGCACCACTGTACTTGTGGCTGTTCACCTCTTCGCTCTCATGGTTAGCACCTGCATTTTGCCCAATATAGAGGCTGTCAGCAATGTCCACAACCTCAACTCTGTGAAGGAGTCTCCACATGAGAGAATGCATCGACACATTGAACTAGCCTGGGCTTTTTCTACTGTTATTGGCACTTTGCTCTTTTTGGCTGAGGTAGTTCTACTCTGCTGGGTCAAATTTTTGCCTGTTAAGCCCAACAAGTCCAGCAATAATACAGTTTCATCTGGTGTGGCTGCTGCTATTACGTCCACCTCCATCATGGTCCCCTTTGGGTTAGTTTTCATAGTCTTTGCTGTGCATTTCTACCGCTCCTTGGTCAGCCACAAGACTGACAGACAGTTTCAGGAGCTCGAGGAGCTATCTAACCTCACCAGGCTTCAAAACGAGCTGGACAATCGAGGGGAACCTTCCATCTTGCAGTCTCCAAGATCACATTTCCCATAGGAAAGTATGGTGGATATGATGACTCCTGGGGATTTCTCCAAGCCAGAAGACACATTATTGGCATATATATATATATGGAGAGAGATTTTTCTTTACAACAATGAAGGTACATCCCATCTTTTTGTTATGAAGTTTACTTTTGTGAAAAGAGTAAAAGAGTTGTATTTTTAGACATTTATTCAACTTGGAACTTAAAATATGCCATCATGCATGTAACTTGAAATTGTGAAGTCTTAACTGTGATAGTTACTTGATTTGCTGTATATCTTACATTATGGCAGAGACATCTGAACAATAAGTTGAAGACATGTCTGTTGCCTGCTGCATTTATTTACCTGTGAACATTGCATTTCTTTATATTACCTTTCTGTGTTTTGTAAGCCACAGATATTTAGCTCTCTCTTCTTTCTATCCTGTGATTTATTGTAATGTTCACTATTTGCATCAGTAACACCTTCTGTGTGTGTAGACCGACTCAAAGCAGCTGCCAAAACTAACAGTATATGTGCACACATCTGCAGCACAGGCTGCATTGTGTAAATAAATACTTAATACTAAATTTTCTGAGCTTAGAAAATAGTTTGCATGTACTATTTGAAAACACTGTATCTCTAATTTTACTTATATGCAACTTTCATGCAATCACTAATACAAGTTAAGCAAGTTCCATCCAGAACATTTTGCGAAAGCAACATTTTAAGATCATGAATAGACAATACATATGTTTGCACCTTATGCTGGATAACATACTGCTCTGGTTCTACGTGATGATGAATACTTATTTATACTCTTGTCACTGACCTATTTTATATGGCCTACTGCAGAGTTTGACCTCTGTGGAGTGTTTGTAGATATTAGACACTAGTGATCCAGTGTGCTTCATTTTGTAAAGCCTGAGCACTTGTCCCATATGTCCTGAATTAGCATATCATTTACTCTGAGTATCCAAAGGAGTGCTTTTCAATCAAGATGATGTGTATTCTAATTGAATGTGGCTGAGTTCTCAGCAATTTAGAGAGAAGTCTCAGCATTCTGTACTGGGGGAGGCTCAAATCCTGATGTGGTTGGAGATGCTTTTTGAAGTGAAAGTCAAGGCAGTATTAGTTAATACTGTAGATGCTATCTTGTCACTTTAGGGGACAACTGTATATTCTACTATTAATAGAGGCTGGAGTGGGATTTTGACGAGATCTTTCAAGCTAGGTATGCAAGCTTGTTTGTATTTTTTTTTCTAAATTATTAGAAAATACAAATGGTGATACAACTGCCTAAAATAACAAAGTAGGTGGACATGTTACTTAGTCACTTCATGTATAACAGTACTGAATTTATCACAAGACCAGCTTTGATAGCCTTTGGTGATGTGATTGCTTTGGTACTAAGTAGGTCAAATATAGTGAATTCAGTTATTTAGTTGTTTTTTTTTTATAGCAGCAAGAGTTACAGTTAGGAACAGTTTATTATCATGGCAGTTATTCAGTTATCTGCATTGGTAATATTTGTGATTAACAAGGTAAAGTTTACCATTGTTTTTTTTGAACTAATTAGAAATATATATACACACATGCGCTCCATGGGAATAAATGACTATTTGGGCGTAAATATTTTAAGAAAACCACAACATGCTGAATACCATTCTTTTTATTTATTTTCTTTTTTCATTTCTTTGTCTGAGAGCATCTCGTAGAGTGGAAATTTGCTGTTGATCTTCTTTGTTTTTCGTTCAACACTGTTCAAGGTAGGCTGATTGGGCATCCCTTAAAACCAACTGCATATCCACCAGCTGTACCTTGATAAGAAGATATGTTCATGTTTTAATCATCAATATAGCATTAGAAAAGTGCTATGTTATCCATGACTATGGTTGTGTCATATAATAGTTAACAGAGAGGTGAAAAAAATCTAGCCAACTGAATGTGACTGTAATAGTAGATAGAATCCAAATGTACCTGTGGAATTGGATACTTGGTTGGTTTTGGTGCTCTATCCCTCTCAAGATCAGACAGGGTCCCACATTTTGCTTCTCCATCCACCCAAAAGCCTTCATAAAGCTGGCCTTTGTCACAATAGTAGAACTTTCCACTGCCATTCTTCTTGCCATCTCGCCAGGTGCCTTCATAACAGTTTCTATTTGCTTGGATACAATTCGGAAAGTCAAGTTTTCAAAATCAACATCTTTTGCAGCTAAATGATTCGTTTTTAATAAAAATGTATTCTGTTTACCCATATACATGATGCCCTGTCCATGATTCTTATCCTTTATCCACTCTCCCTCATACGTATCTCCATTTTCATAGTACATTCTTCCCCAGCCGCTCCGAAGGTCCACACGCCACTCCCCATCATAAACTGTTGAGTTATTGTAGATGTACATCCCATAGCCCTGATGAGACAGAAAGTGATGCAAAATGTATCAGAGAGTGTAATATATTACCACCTGCATGTAACAGTATATCAAATACATACATGTTTCTTGCCATCTTTCCATTCACCATCGTACTTCTTTGCATACTTCTTTGTTTCTGGGCGTAGTACATAGTAGGTACCATATCCATCACGTTTTCCAAATTTCCACTCTCCATTATAAATGGCACCAGACTTCTTCCAAACTTGAGTTCCGTTCCCTGGAAAAAAAATGAATAGGCAAGGATTTTAGCCACAGTGAAACCAAACTATGTAAAGATTCATAATGGGACATTCACAAATAGGCCTATCTCAGTAGTCAGTAGAAGCTACCACTACACAGTATCTCACCATGCTTTTTGTTGTCCTGCCACTCTCCAGTGTATGTGTCTCCATTGACAGAGAAAACTTTATGCCGCAGTCCATGTTTCTGTGACTTAATATCCAGCAATGTTGTGTATGGCAGATTTTTTGTAGATGCTTTATTATAAGGCATGGCTGGAGGTCGCTTGATGGAAATCCTGTAGAATAGAATAGACTTTATTGTCATTACACAGTCATGTGCAACAAAATTAATATGCTCTTTGACTACAACAGAGTGCAATAAAGACCATCACACAAAAAGATAAAATATAAATAATACATTAGACCAATAAAACTGTACAGGTTAGCCCGTTTCCCCCATTCCTATGCCAAAAGGAGAAAGGACTTCATTGCCCTTCCTTCAGTGCAGTGAATCTAATTACTTGTCACAGTCATCTAAGATGCAAGAGATGTGTCAGGTCAATCTCATTTAGACCAATAATACAAATCACAAATTTACTTCTGTATGATAGGCTATTTACAATAAAGGACACCGTTTTTAATTTTTGCTAGCGTTTAATAAAAAGATATGCTAGTCAAAAACATTGCATCACCTATTCTTCATTTGTAAATAGGCTAGTGCATGTCTTCATTGGTTATAGGCCTATACACAAATTAGTGGTCTACATTAGGCTGCTGATTTAACAAAAAAGGTTCAGCAAAAACAACAAAATAATGATGCACATGAACACACATTCAGAATAAAGTTGAATTACTTTACTAAAATTATCACCTTAACTAAAAAAAAAACATTTAAACTCTTGCTACAGTTCGCGAAAGTTACCAAATAGCAATAAACGCGCATTCAGAGAGCAAAGTAGGCTCCTTGTAGCCTACCTTATAGATGTGTCCAAGCCAATTACTTACTTACTTACCTACTCATGTAAACTCGGGGCACGCAGCTACCGAATAAATTAAGAAAATATGTTGGACAGCTAGGAAGAGTATGAACTTTACAAGCTGGTGTCCCCAACATGCATAAAATGCGCAGTCGCTGTGTCCTAGCAACAGCAAGGTGCAAAATAAATGTCCTAGCAACAGCAAGGTGCAAAATAAATACAATTCAAAGTAATTTAAAAAATAGTGTTAAATATGTCTGGGGCGCCTAATTGATAACTAATTCATTTTTATTTATTTGCCATACAATTTAAGTTATTTGTCTTCGGGTTCAACTACAACATATGTCCGGACAGTGTTGTATGATGTGCGCATGCGCTGTGTAGCCCAATTAAAGCAGTGTATGAGTGGCTAGTCGGCCTGTGTGAGGGAAGATTCGGGTGGAAGTCGTGTCTGCCTGCCTGTTTCGCTACAGCAATGTCCAACCCGAAGTTTCAGACGGAGTGGGAAGAAATTGAAGAGGAATATCAACAATTACAGGTGACAGAACATACTAAAGCGAATACTTCACCATCAGTGGTAGATTGCTGGCTGGAGCGTGCCGTGGGTGGCACTGATAGGAGGCACCGTAACGTTAGTCGCTACGTTAGATTGGGCGGCTCTTTTTCTATTCGCCATTCATTCTCAGCTCACCCATAATCGCAGCATTGAGCCAATAACTGCGCTGGTAGCCGCAGCTAGGGGATTAAATGTGTTTCTTTAGACCTTTATTTATCATCTTTGTTTCTACTGTTCCATTCGTGTGTTACAGCCGCTAACATTAGAAACTTGTCTTCCTGCTAGTGTGTTACGTGGCTAACCGTTCCGTGCAAATATTGTGCGACTGGTTAAAAGACTGCTACAACAGTTACGCAGAGGTCGTAAACTTCACGTGTTTGTTTGTGTCGTCTGACCCGTGAAAATAGTTTTGTAGTCATTGAATGTATTATTCCCTCACTAGGTCATGTTAGCTAGCTGGCTAACTTGAAACAATAATATAGTCGATTATAAGAAAGAGTGCCATTTATTGAGAGGTTTGAAAAGGAGCCATGTGGTCTGCGGTGCCACCTCTCTCCTCATGCTGGCTTCAGACAGCTGAGACGTGGATGTGTCATGCCATCACGGTGTAAAATCTGGAGCTGCTCCACAGGGAAGGATGATGGAGGTGACTGTCAGTTGTCCAGGGGTTTTCTTACATGAAGCTTAACTATTACCGGTGAATACGTGATGCCACATATTTCACCTACATACATTGAAGACACTGTGCCTAAGTTAGTGTAATTAGCTGTCAGTTTGCCCTTTCCTCCTCCAGTTTGTACTTCTAATATGGTGTCCTAAGGGGATAATAATTTCCTAGCTTAACTTCGGACCACAGCATTATCTCTGCTGACTGTGCATCCTCACCTCACTCACTCAGTCTAGTCTTAAAGATCAGTGCTAATGGAAAAACTGGAAAGCTGTGGTCTGGTCTATCAGAATAAACGCATGTGAGCTCAACTATACATTTCACCACATAATACTGTCACTGGGGTCTTTGTGTTGAGACAGAAGAGTCAAACAAGATTTCACATATAATATCCATCTCTGCTAAATAGAGACTCTCTTTGCAGTGTTGTCCATTGAGAATTTATTTTAACTTGGAAAAGATTTTGGTGAAAGAAGAATATTTTCACTAGAATATGAAAAAAAAATGCAATGGGTTATTTAACTTATTGGTTATAATCAGCCATTTGCAGTGCTTTGTAATTTTATTGACCTGAATTTCTCATAATTTGCAGAACTATATTTTTATGTCTTATTACCCATTTTTTTGAGTCAACGATGCTTTCTACCTTTACAGATATTCTTGAATCATTTTGTGTATTTTTTGATCCCCAGGAAACTCACAAAATATACAGACAAAAGCTTGAAGAGCTCAACAATCTTCAGGCAACATGCAGCAGCTCCATCAGTAAACAGAGAAAATGCCTAAAAGACCTAAGGCACAGCTTGACCAAGTAAGTATCCTTTCACTGATCAGGACAGAGTTGCACTACAGGGAGAGTTTTGGTGTGTCACAGTTTAGCTCATCTTATGGAGAGCCAGGGTATTATTTCTCTTCCTGTTCATGTTTCCTCTCATGATCATTGTCTTTTCTTTACAGGTATGCAAAAACATGTGACGAGAAAGAACTGAAACTAATAAAGGACATCAAAACACAAATCAAGGAGAAAGAAAATGTGTTCTTTGATATGGAGGCATATTTGCCAAAGAGGAACGGGTATGTACTTTGTTTTTTATGTAAACCCTTCTTCACAGGCAATGACTTTTGTGTCACAGATTTATTTATTTGTACATCTTTGTTTTGCTCCCAGACTGTACCTGAACCTGGTCCTGGGCAACGTGAACGTAACGCTCCTCAGCAACCAGGCAAAGTACGTGAAGTGTTTTGCTTTGAGGACAGCTTTAACACACAGATGTAGAAGCTGAGTTTTTATCTGCTTGTTGTCAGCTGCTCATCTTGTTTTTGTCTTGGGTTTATTGACATAGATTTGCCTACAAAGATGAATATGAGAAGTTCAAGCTTTGTATGACAATAATCTTAATGTTTGGAGCCATAACCTGCCTCTTCTTTCTCAACTGTCGGTGAGATAATGTTTTCCTTCCAACATTATTGTTGTTGTTGATGTTTGCACTTTTTAAAGCCTGGCTCACCATCTTATTTTCTCTGCTTTATTTAGTGTCACGGATGAAATCTTCAACTTTTTGCTGGTGTGGTACTACTGCACATTGACCATAAGAGAAAGCATCCTCATGAGCAATGGCTCCAGGTGTGTTGTAAACTAGAACCACTACAGTGCTTCTTTTTTTTCATGCAACTGAAAATAGGATGTATGATTTTATATAGTAGGATTTGTCTCTTGAAGATTAGTCGGATACAGTTGTAACATGTTTTTATGTCTTTCTTCGTGTACTCTGCTTGTGCTTTTCAGGATTAAAGGTTGGTGGGTATCTCACCATTATGTATCCACCTTTTTGTCAGGTGTGATGCTTACCTGGTGAGTTTTGTCTTTAAATTTATAGCGTCACTTTTTTTTTAACAATCATACCTGAGCTATTTAACAAGCCTGTGCAAGTTATAGACTGCTAAGGCAACAAAGGTTGCAGTTTAGGTGGTAATTGCTTCATTTGATTTTTGTTTAACCTTGTGTCTTCTCACAGGCCAGAGGGGCCCATGTATCAGATGTTCAGAAGCCAGTTTCTTGCTTTCTCCATCTATCAGAGTAAGACGTTTGAATCTGTTGGAACAAAATGTGCATATTTTCACATTGTTGTTGTGTATATGTGTGGGGTCTCAGTGATTTGGGTGACAAAGGATGAGGTCGATTTAAAAAGATGTGTGGTGTTGTCGTTTTCAAATCAACATTCAGTGTTGGTTCAATTCAGATTTAAAAAAAAAAAACAAAAAACAATTTCAAGATGTTTGTTCAAACTACCCAAAGACAAGGCGGTTGCACTGGTATTAGCAAGTTGATGTGAAGCTTTAATTGTTTAAAAAGCAGCTGAAACTTTAAAATTTGATGTGATGTTCGAGGGTTTTAACATGGGACATATAGTTTCTCTCCTGTTGTTTGTTGAACTTGGTGAAGCATGTCCTGGAACATTTGAGGCTCACCGGCAAGTTCAGAAGGTCTAGTGAATAAAATGTAACAGACACCATACATACATTGCCAACATCAGCTATAGAAGATAAAAGTGAATTGTTAACATTTCCATTGTTGTATTCAGATATATATTGTATTTTCTGTTTTATGAACGGCTGAAACGGATTATTTCTATATATTGTAACAAATTTGTAAATAGAGACGCTGCAGCCACAGACATCATGGTACATTTGCCTGAAAAATGACTGAAGCGATTAATCAGATTGTGCCCATAACTAAACGACTAATCATTTCTTCTTCCTGGACATACTGTAAGAGAATGAATTACACTTTAAGGTTTTCAGTATAGGTTTTTATTGAAATTGAAGATGACCCAACTCCAGGTAAAATATCTAAGTTGTGAAATGTGATGGAGAAATGAGGACTAATCTATTTTTCTGGATTTCTGAATGGTTTTCAACTGGTACTCAGAGTATATACTGCATTTATTCTGAAATCCAAAATAGCACTTTAGAGGGCAGGAAAAAACAAAATTTGTTCACCTCAACATTTCCAATCGAATGTTCCCATATCATTTTGTGACACCATGGTGTGATAGTACACAAAGGGCAGGGTTGCCTGCAACACAGTATTTGAGTAACAGTGAAATGACCTTGACAGCTTTTTTTATTTATTTATTTAAGCTGGTGGGAGGTTGACACACAGCCGTTCTCCTACTAATAGCTGACACTAAATGGACTCTTATATGGGTAGTTACACATAAGGGTGTTTGATGAATGGAAAGTTTTCTAATTAAGGCAGTAAAACTCATGGAATCAGTTTAGTAACTCAAGTTAAATTTTAGCATATTGTGCTTCTGCAGATAGTCCGTGATAAGCTGTAGATTCGCCACCACAGGCCTGCTAACAACATTTTAATATAAAACCTGAAAATGTCTTTTCACCTGAATAGAGAAGTGAAGTCATGACGCACACTGGTGGTTACAGCTGTCTATCACATGTAGACTCACAAAGAGACAGCTAATGTGATGGAGCAGATGTTCATGGTAAAAACCGCCTCACCAGACAAATTCAACTTAAACTGAGATTGTGTGTGTTTTGTTATGTCATTGAGGATGGCATGACCCCCTGATGCTGCTACTGATACTGTCTTTCTTTATAGTACTGAAACATGAATTAGATTTTCTGAACTTCATTTATCTGTATTGACTGTTCTGTAATCTGTAAATTCTGTGATCCGTTCACCCTCCAGGCTTTGTTCAGTTCCTGCAGTATTACTATCAAAGCGGCTGCTTGTATCGACTGCGAACTTTGGGAGAGAGAAATCAGCTGGACCTCACAGTGGGTAAGTTGTAAGCTATTTTCAGTTGTAGTCATGTCAGTCGTTTGAACTCTTGAGCCATCTGCAGCACCATGTGTGGAGAAAATAGGGTAAAGGTGAGAGATGGAGACAGCTGTTAACATCCGTGTGCTGCCACGCAGATGTCGAAGTAACTTGAGGAAGGTCTCAGTGGATTTGATGTTTAAAACATCTCTCATGTCAGAGATGGTTCCAGCACAGCAATCATTGGCGTAGTGTTCTGTGTTTCGGTGTCTCAGGGTCACTGTTACAGCTCTTCTCTTTCTCTGCAGAGGGATTTCAGTCGTGGATGTGGAGAGGCCTCACTTTTCTTTTGCCTTTCCTTTTTTTTGGCCACGTAAGTCAAAACATAACTTCTTTTTTTTTCCTACTTTTGTTTAATGTCAAAGTGAAGCTTTATCACCTTACTCCAGATACTTTAAAACCAGGAGTAGTACTTTGCAAAAGACCATGTAAGCTCAAGGGGCAGTGCCGCAACACATTTTACACCCGTGTTATTTTGATCCTTATTAAATAGGTTAAAAGTAATGCATCCTTTTTAAGAGTAAAAATTAAACAAATGTGTTTTAGATGGACTATCGGCTGAGGAGAGAGAGAAAACTTGCTTGTGCAGTGACGTTGTGAAAGATAATGCCTCTTTCTTTTGCAGTTTTGGCAGCTTTACAACTCAGTGACCCTGTTTCGCTTGGCAGGACATAAGGACTGTAAGGAGTGGCAGGTAAGGATCACTCGGGCAGATTCACTGCTTAAATGTTAAGAGACGAGAGTAAAAAGAAAAAGGTTGACAAGCTTCTGTTTAAAATCATGTGTGCTTTTGTCTGCCTTAATCTGAGCAGTCCTCACAAGCACATTTGGGGGCATATTCAGAGTTGGCTGCTGTATAAGTTTAAAAGTTAAGTCAAAAACTGTGCAGGGAAAGTTTGTCTTAACTTGATTGTTGGACACATCTACTTTATTAAAAGTGATGCTGACTGGTGTTGGAATTTTATCCCCACCTCCTTCAACATTTTGAAACGCAGCTATATTAAAAGCGCATGTCACGGCTTGTCATGACATAAAAGCGTCTCCCCTTTTCTTTCAGGTATTTATGCTTGCGCAGACATTTCTTGTCCTCTTCCTTGGAAATTTTCTCACCACGTTAAAAGTCGTCCACCAAAAGTTTCAGAAAAAACACGATAAGGTGCAAAAAAAGGATTGAGACAAAAACACAACACTTGAGGTTCCAGCCAGTACTTTTGAAGCAACACGCACAATCGCTTGATAGACTGACCACAGGCTGATGAGGCCAGGAGAGGACAAAGCTGAAGCCGCTGTTCCCTCAGGCTTCTGTGACAGCAGCATCTAGCCAGAGCTTCTGGCAAACAGGCTTCTGCTTTCTAATGACTCGGTGTTGTTGATGCTGCTGTTCGGTTGGTCTCAACACAAAGTGGTGTTCACCTCATATCTGAACAGATTTGTCACTTTATCCTGCGGAAAGAATGTTTTATTTGGGTGTATGTGTCGGTGCATGAATCTGTCCGAGAGCCTCTGTTTAAATCATATGCAACTATAAGGAAGCAGGTAGCATCACTTAACAAAACCTTTGAGGACCTCATGTCTGTCATGTACAAACTTCATACTTCTGTGAAGTAGTAATGGTAAAACTGTCTCTGGCTTGAACAAACCTGGACATGTTCAGTTCGGCACTGTGCTTCATGTTGTTCACTTTTCTAATGTTTTATATTTAGTTCTCAACACAGTGTTACTCATTTTTATTTTACTACTTTTGTTCTCAGAAATACAAAATGCATGCAGAAAAAGTACACTTAACCCAAGATTATCTTACATTTTATGAGGGGGGGTGGGTTTTTTTTTTTTTTTTTTTTTTAAATTTCATTCTGGGA